ATTTCTCCCACAACTATGAATATTAATAACTAATAAATACTAGAATAATAACAAATCAAGAAATAAAAGAAAATTAGGTTAAATGTTGATTGTGGGCCTAAAGGCGACAAGCCCATTCTCAACACTATGGCTAGAGGCATGTTTGTTGCGGTGCAAGTCACCATGACCTACTCATTGTGGCTAATAGCTCTGCTCGCTGCGGTCGAAAAGCACCAACCACTCACTACGACCACAATTGTTGTCCACCGTGACGAACTCTACATTATCAGCATAGGAAATAGCATGTAGAAAGTTACTTCAACCTTGCTTAACTAATCATTCAGACCTCTGATTAAGGCAATCCAAGAGTTTGTTTAGACAAATTTAATATCCAACAACTACTACCCATTATAACTTAATCCAATACCGAATGAGGATCTTGGAACACTGCGTGGCAATAAGAGCATTCAAGCCCTTTGCACATATACAAGTGTCCCCCTGTAAATATTAACGGGAGAATCACATTCAAGGATCACTCAAGGAAATTATTTACAAGCAAGAACCAAATACGGAATGGATTATTGTTAAAATGAGAGTGTGACTTGTTATTTCTCGAATGTGACTTTTTAGTCCTTGTTTGTGAATAATTTCATTGAGTGGTCCTTGGATGTGATTTTTCCAATATTAATTCATAGCAAATGCTAAATTGCAATGACAGATATGCATGAAAATATTCTCTTTAATATACCAAGTTGTATCAAATACTAAAGTTGATCTGCCATATCACTACATTTGCACAAATGCCTTTCCAACTCTAGGACCAGACCATCAACAATGCTCAAGTTAACAAATAAGTCTATTAAGCAATTGTTGAATAATTCAAACGTGCAAATGAGATATAGCTAACATATGCAAACCTCTAATATTGGCGATAATAAGTATTCAAATACACAAACTACAAATCTAGACGTTTTACTAAGAAATTAAGCATTTTCAGCCTCTGATGCTTTGATCTTAGCCACATCCTTAGCATTTTCTGGAAAGTATTAAGCAATAGGAGTGATATTATATTTAATATATAGAAGTGTGGCAAATATAAGCATATAGGGCAAAGATTCACATTTTACATGCTATTCGTATTCAATATGCATCATAAAACTATTAATTAATAACAAAATGGGCATCTAATTCAACGCATGACGATGATGCATGATCATATGCAATCCATTCTTGTTTCTTTCCTTATATCTTCTGATTGAATCCATCAGCTACTAATAATATAGGACTAATCCGTGTGACTGGATTAGGCCAGCTCTTCCATTGTGATGGGTGATCAGGCTAAGGCCTCATGCTTACTCTTGGGCCATAGATTCTCCTATTCCAAACTCATGGGATGTCATTCTGCGTAGTCTAGGGCAATACATAGTTCAGGATAATAGTCAAGAATCAACATCGAAGCCTTGCAATGTTGTTGAGTACCATGCGGGTTTCCTTATTGTCCTACTCTTTTGGGTGAACTCTCACCTATCCATGATCATGTAATACACTTATGTTATTTGATGTTATGTCATAAATGCAAGCTTGATTAACTCATCTCATAATCAAGCGCATGCCATCAAGTCAAGAATACATGTCTAATATCGATCTTAAGTCATAATCATCTATTCATGCTTTTTATAATACTGAGCATTCACTTAAGCACATAATACAACTCAATCACATGCTCATCCATTCACTAGAGTCATGTTCATTAAGATTACAATGGTCATAATTCCAGCATCACTTTGTGCTTACTAATTACATTGACATTCATTAAGATTTACTATTTCCATCATGCCAAACAATTCATGCCCTCATTACATTTTAACATGGTACAATTACACAACCCAAAACAAGTCAACCGTTATATTTCATTATCAAACAAACTCATGACCACATGTTGCATCATTCTTAGCAATCAATACCCACCTGCTTGCATATTCATATCATCAAATTCATCACAATTAATAACATACAACTCATAATTGCAAACAACTATTATCTACAAGAATTTAACTTCTGATTACTTCGACTCTTGGGTTACCACCCCAAGAGCACACTTTTGGATCCCAAAAGAGCTCTCAAGCAATCAATAAGCTCTGAGAGTAGTTAAATTTACAATTAGAATCATTAAACCTCATTAGTGACTAATCTTATTAATCAACCCTTAATCATGATTAAGGCTTAATACCCCCATTAAGCATGATTAAGCAAAATCAACACCTACCTCTTTATGATAAACATCTTCAAAACAACTTAGATAACATATTTAACTTCAAACAACCCATAAAATTTGAACCCCATGGCTTGAGTTGCTTTAGATTTGAGCCCTTACCTTAATCACTACTAAAATTACTTAAAGAAGAGATTAGAGGGTAGGAGATGGATTAGAAGTGTTACCTCGAGTGATTAGGAGTTAAAATTCATGCCTTAGTGTTAGGAATTCCAAAACCTTGGTAGCACTCTTCAAAAATTGCTCCAAGCTTCTCAAAAACTCCATTTTTGCATTCTATTTCATGACAGAGCATTTAAGTATGAAAATGCGCTATTTGCCACGGCCAGAAGTGCCACTCATCATGGCCAACAGTACCATTTCACTAACTGAACTTCACAAATTCATAATTAATTCCACACATATTTGAAAATTGCAAATTAAGGCTCTATAGAAAGCTTAAGATATCTATTTTCTATTGTAAAAAGAAGTGCTAAAAAATATTATTAATTGCCCTTTGAAAATATTTAATTACAAAGATAGCTCATTTCTTATCTTCTTCCAAGCCCTAATTGACTATAAATCATTTTTCAATGTATTAAAATACTCTTAAGCTCTCTTAAAATATTATTAATTAATTAACTTAAAAGGTAAGAATTTAGGATGTTACAGAACTATAGTCCTCAACTCCTGTAGGGATTGAAGGTGGTTCTAATGACTGTGGAGAGGGAACTTGCTAAGTTCAGCAAGCTTGGGGTACCACTTTTTTCTAGGGATAATCCCATTGAATGGATGTTTTAGGTTGAACGTTATTTGTTAGTGAATAAAGTCCCTGGTGAGAAGTTAGAAGTGTTGGTGATAGGATACAGAATTGATTAGATTTAAGATTTTTATTTTATTAGAATGATCCTAAGATTTGATTTGAATAAATGTAATCTTTTAGATTGCTAGGTTATCTTTTAAATTATTTTAGAGTATTTGCATTTAAGCATTAGGATTTTGTAGAATATTATGCTTTTAATATTTTTATTTCTAGGGTTAGGTTAATACATGCCTATAAATAATGCCTTAACATATTTACTTTGTACCCCTTTTTGAATAAATAAGAATTAATATTGATTTGCCTCTTCTCCGAGTTTCTCTCTTCTTTAGACTTAGTTCTTTTTTTTCCCCCTCTATTCTCATTACTCCCTTTTTATCTTTTCTATATTCTCTTTCCTCTTCTCCTTCCTTGTTCTACATCAGTTGGTGCTCCTAAAGTCCTTAGTATATCTTGGGTCGCATCTAAAGCAGCTCTTGGAGCTTGCTCTGCCTTCTCAACAACTTTCTTTTGCCTTGTTTGGGGAATTGTAACTGTCAGTGCAACCAAGTAGTTGGCAAAATTATAACACAAACCAATGGACTGTCAAATGAGGCAATACTCTTGGAGTTTAAAAACAGCTGGGAAAATTTTGAAGACATTAACTAGAAACTTCCTTCATTTTAACCTTGTGGACAAGTTTGAAGTTGCTTTGAAGGGGATTGAAATCAATGTGCTTGCTATGCCCTAGTGCTAATATAAACTAGAAGTCTTGTTTCAATAAAAGAACAACAATAGTAGAAGGGGATTAGAACAATATAATAGCTATCTTTGACATGAGTGGAGCTTGAGGGAGAGTAGTGTATCGGAGAGAAAAGGATGTCATTGTGATTTTATGAAAGGTTCATGGGGAATTTGAAGGATGGTCCTTCGAAGAGAATCGAGCCCCTTAAAAGCTAGGGAATGATCAGTCTATAACATTTATTTTCTTTTTGGTAAAATCAAAAGTATCCCTTGCCGACGACAGAGACTAATCTCCTTTGAGGTATGGAGGACAAAGGGTAGACCCCTCCCTACTAGGTTTGCTCCTTGCACCAGAGTTTGAATTCAAAGCCCTCGCTACTTGCTTAAGTAACAAGAATCCTTGCCACTAAGCCACTCATGCCAACCTGAGTTCACATGAGTCTAACTTTTAATATTTGTGTGTGGGTCCCCCCTAAAGATTCTATTGCTCCTCTTTTAATTCCGTAAGCAGAGAGTTGGCAGCCCTATGAATACTATATCTTCGTATTATTTTCTGTGTATGTTTTCTGTTTATTTAATAATTGAAATGAAGTTATTGGGAGTTTCCGTGTTCTGCTTTGGTGTTTGTCTTTGCTGTTCAATTATCTATGTTCCATTAGAAAATCGTTATATTAATATATATATATATATAAAATAAAATTTCCAAAAAACTGAACTATATAATCATATATAATAAAATCTATAAGAAGTCGCACTGTTTATAATTCATGAACAATGTAGCTTGTCTTAGATATAATGCAAAAAACGTGGCCAGCAATCTATTTTTCTATAAAAAATTGAGTTCTTTGCTAGACGGAACAGCTTTAATATAGAATGATGTGCTAAAACTGCAAGGATTGAATTAGATTAGAGAATGACTTGGAGGGACTTATTGGGTATGTCATAATTGCCTTTTTATCATTGAACAATCATAATTTGCATCTTAAGTAGGCATAATAAATGATTTTTAATGAACATGCCATAATTTGTTTGTCAAAAGTGCAGACAAAATGAAAGACAAGCTGAATAAGAAATGGAAAGGAAAAAGACCATTGTTTAACTAAGATGCCCTGATAATGTATTTTGACATCACTTGTTTTTTTCTGTATATTCTGCAATCTTTGCCATAAGTCATTGTGGCTAGTAAAATATGTTATCACTTCAGCTTACATGAAGAAATTTGAACAGCGCAGATTGTAAACATATATCAGAAATTGAGACTAGTCCATCATTGTTGGTGATTAGTTCGAATACAGGAGGCAAAAAATCTAAGATCAATTCTGAATGTACTGCTAATTCACAGAAATATTTAGGTATTCTTGCTCGGAGCTTCATAGCTTTTCAAATGTTCAGTTGACAGGTTTTTTTGGAATAATATTTATTATTGTCTATGAGTATTGAATAACTTATAACAGGGTTGTGCAGATGCTGAAAATATGGAAGGAATGCTCAGAAATTTTAGTTGCCATTGTTCCATAGAATCAACACAATCAAGTACTATGTTGACAGATTTGCTGTCTCTTAAGGTAAGTGATGGTTTCTCTCTTCAATCCTTGCACATGAGTTCCTGGCATTTCGAAACTGTCCATTAGTTTTTCTTGATGTCACTGATAATTTTTTTATCATTATTCTGTGTTGAGATCAGCATACAACAGCAAATAATATGAAAAAGAAAAACATTGCAAGGGTTTGGATTAAAACATTTCTGGGTAAACTAGGTGTTCTATATGATGACTGATGTGCCAATGATGCTGCTACTTGACAACTTGGTGAGAAAATCCAGGAAACTTTGTTCTTTGTCTATTTCAAATACCATGGCAGTGAACAAATAGGGGAAAGACAACCACATACACTTGGGGTACTCAATCTTAGTAAATCAGATTGAAAATGGAATCAAAGGAAATTAAAATCTGATCTTAAGAGATTGCACATCTAAAAGCATCCTAAGAAAGAACTAGTAAAGGGAAAATATGTACAATGATATTTGGCCTTAATGGGCTTGATGCTTCCTAATATCCATGCTCAAGCTAAAGAATAGATGACATTTATTCCCAACTTTATGATTAATTCATCTAATCTTACTCTCAAATTATTAAATCTCTCCATCTGTCACCTTCATTGCATTGGCCCCTGTGGAAACAGAGGTGTACTGTGCCTTTGTTATTTTATTCATGCGATACAATATGTGTATCCAAATGGGATTGATATAGGCTACAGCAAACCCTAAACCTAGGATCCTAGAAATAATATCTCTGACTAATTATTATTATCTTAGGTTTATCTTCTAAGATATGATATCTTAACAGAGGATATCATATCTAAAACTAACCTAGGGAATTATTGATAGAACAATAATAGTAATGATAATAAAACAGAAACTAATGTAATATTAATAAAGTAATAGTAATCAGTGCCTCTTCAATACTCCTTCTCAAGCTGGGGAGTAGATGTTAAGCATCCCCAGCTTGGATGTGACTTCTTCAAATCTTGGTCTATCAAGTGCTTTAGTAAGTCAGCCGCTTGAGAACTTGAGTCTATTTTCTCTTTGATAAAGTGTCAATCAATTTCTACACATTTTGTTTTGTCAAGTTGGACTGGGTTCTTTGTCATCTTAATGGTCGATGTGTTATCACAGAACATCTTCATAGGTAAGGTCACCTTTTGCTTGAGTTCAAGTGACCTTAATAACCAGATCCCTTCACACATCCCATGTGCCAATGCTCAAAGCTTAGACTCTGCTCGGCTCATGGATACATGTTGTTTCTTCTCCAGGTCACTTAGTTCCCCTACACATACATAACATATTTGGTAGTGGATCTATTATCTGTTATTGAACCTCAATCATCAGCATCAGTAAAGATTTCTGTACTTCTACTTTCTCCTTTTGTGGAAAATCTGAATCAATTGCATCAGATATAGGAGAATCAGGAATATATAGGAAAATCAAGGATTGATTACATCGGTTTCTATTATATTTATTGTATTTATTCTATTGAGTTTACTATAAGTTATCATCCTTGCTGTATAAATTCCCCTAAGATGTATGAATGAACCTATGAAATGAGAATATACAATCTTTCCTCTCCAAATTTCCACATGGTATTAGAACCTCTAGGGTTTGAAAAAATTCTTTGCTTAGAGTTAGAGCTCTACATTGAGATTACGTCTCTGTTTTTTTTTTTTTGTTTTGGAAAGTGGCCTCAATCTGGTGTGACTGGTTAGTCATGTACCTGAGGATAGAGAGCTTGTTACCCAAAGAGCATCAAAAGATGTTGATCAGCCAACCCCAGAAATATCACAGTGAATGGCAGTGCATGTAGCTTACATGCGCCACCTGGTGAGTTTGATGCGATGCAACGCAAGGGCAGTGGCGCACTGGGGCATGGAGCCTCTAGTTGGATGCGAAGTGCTATTTCTAGCGAGATCTAAGTGCTTCTTGAGTCTAGGAAGCCCTCTATCCAAATGTCCATATCATCTGTACCTCATTTTACATTGTAGCCTTCTGTGTTTAGGGTTATAGTGCTTGATTTCTCTCTGTTATGGGAGAATTTTTTTGTCTGAGGCTATAAGAGCGTTAATGTTGTTACTCCTGATCATCAAACCACTCATACGCATATTTACACCTCTCGCATTAGTAGTAAAAAAGGGGATGTTTCTTTAGGAACTAATGACATCCGAGAATCCATAGTATGGATTGTTGACTTAGGAGCATTAGATCATATGACAAGTTGTCATGAGTTGTTTACTACTTACATCTTGCTATGATTAAGACCTAATTGTAGTATAGTATTCAAATTTTGCATGCCGACAATGGCATGGAATACTTTAATCAGACCTTGAGTATGTTTCTTCGAGAACATGGCATCATTCACCAAAGTACTTATGTGCATACCCCCCAACAAAATGGGATAGCCGAGATTTAGAGGTGGCAAGAGCTCTCATGTTTATTTGTAATGTTCCAAAGTACTTTTGGGGGGATGCTATTCTCACTGCCACTTATCTCAAACAGAATGCCAAGTCGTGTATTATCTTACGAATCACACCTAAACACCTTACATAAGGTATACCCTACCTCCTGTATTGAGGCCAACCTTTCACTTTGAGTCTTTGGTTGTACCTCTTTTGTCCACCTTCACCAGAGTTCTAAACTTGAACCTCATGCACTTAAGTGTATATTTTTAGGTTACTCACCTACGCAAAAAGGTTATAAGTGTTGTGATCCTATATCCAAACATCTCTTTGCTTGTCTTGATGTTACCTTTTTTGAAGATACTCGTTTCTATCCCTAGTCCTTAATTCAAGGGGAGAGTATAGATGAATTTCAAACTTGGGAAAGTGAGAGACCCAACAAAGATTCCATTTCTAGCATACCTACATTGCGTGAACCTCTTAAGCCCTTTGAACCCTACTCTCATGAACTAATTCCAACTCCGCCATCATCAACTATGCTAGAACTTAAGGAAAATAGAAAGACAGGGGGAGATGCAAGAGAACCATAATAGAGAGAGTTGTTTGTCGACACTCGGAAAAAACAAGTCCAAAGATAGTGAACAATTCATGCCTAAAGCACCAAAAGAGTCAAAACCAGAGGTAGCTCTTGAAGTTGAAGCACCAAGAGAAATAGTGGCTGAGAGAACTCCTAAACTCCCAAATGCTGATTCATCCAATAAGCCAGATGGTCCTAAATCTACTAATCTAGATCTCCCTATTGCTCTAAGGAAACAACTTCGCTCATTTGCTCAGAATCCTATAGAAAGGTTTGTGTCTTATAAGGCTCTTTCTCTAAGACTATATGCTTTCACAACAAATATGTTGGATAGGAATGTGTAGTGGAAGATTAAAATTTTAAAGTCCCTATCCTGATATGGACCAAACGAACTCGTTTAAGTCAAAATGGATAAAAGAATTACCTTTTAATTCTTTGAACTTGATGCACGTTCTCTACAAGAGTTTGGATCTCAGGAGCTAACAATATAGATCTGCTTCCTCACTGATATCCACACGAACAGCACTCCAACTTGAACAGCGTGCTAGTACTCCCAACGTCCGTTGTTCTTTGAACGTTAATTTTTCTTTTTATAAGGTATTTCGTGGCTCTCAGAGTGCTTTTTCTATGAGAACTTTTCTAACTTTCTCTTCCTTCACAAAGGACGTCCCTATTTGTGTATAGTATATCAGGGTTTTCGACTTCCACTTAAAAGCCTACGAAAATTTAATTAAATTTATCCCATTAATTTAATCCATGATATCTAATTCAAATTTGTCTTATAAATTTAAATTATGAAACTGACATAATATTCTCTCATATCATATTAGTTACTAAATTTAATCTATCATATAAAATTAATTTTAAAACTAACATAACATAACATAATATAGCATGTGATGTATATTATATTATATATATATATATATATGAATATATATATACATATATATTTCGATAATAATATATATATATTATATAAATTTAATTTTATATATCATATATACACACACATGAATATATATATGAAATTATATTTTATATTTTATATTTCATATAAATATATATAAATATTTATTAAATAAATATTCAATAATATATATATAATTCATTCACCTTATATTGCATTCATTGAATCTAGATATATTTCATATTCAGGACATTATAACTCGAGTTGGGCTGTTTTTGTGTCTGATTCTGTAGGCCCATATAAAATTGGTAGTGGGCTAATTACGCCATTAGCCCACAAGTCACAAGTGGCCTTTAACAAGACATTGCAACTACCCAATTTACATGGGGATCGATGATCCAATGTAACCTATCATGCAATCGTATCACATTCCTTTTCCCATGTGATATTTCGGTGAAGTATGAGATATGGAATTGTCATTCTCCTTTACCTGACCATTACTTTCTCGATCTCTAAGTAAACTAACAATAATAATGGAAAAACCCTTTTCATTGTAATATGGCCATACATTTTCTCAGTCTTACTCATCGAGGGACCCAGTAATATCTTTCACTTAATGTGAGGGACAAATTTCATCTTGACCACTTATATTCCTTGGCATGAATATCACTAAACTCAATCATAGCCTTTATGATCACCTGGTTAAAGGTGACTTTTGACTAGGTCAAAGTTTAGTGGTCATCATGTAAGAATTCATGATGATTTTAGGTCAAAGGGCTTAGTGATATAATTACATATGAGATAAACTTATGACTTGTACCATGCAGCTTTCTCATAGTGGGTCAATTTAGCACTTTATACTCTTTCAAGTGCCTATGATTTTGATTTGTATTTCTATAATTAATCAAATTCATACTAGTCTTGTTTCATCTATGATCCCTCATAGATGACCGACCAGGGACATTTAGGACAATCACTATAGGTTGTCCAAGAATACAATTATCATATTGAACATACAATTGTTATAATAACAAAAGAGAAATTCATTAAATAACAATGTACATAGTAATTGACCTTAGGGCATAATTTTCAACAAAATATTGATAGGATAAAAATACCTAGTAATATCC